GGCTGGACCAGGAAGAGGCTGGAGCTGGGGAGCCAGTCACCAACAGGGTGAGACCAGGTTTCGAAAGGGGCTCAGTTGTGTATCAGACCCAAAGAGGCCCCTGACTCCTCTTCTTCTTTCCTCCAGCCCTGTGTCACTCTTGTCCCTCAGAGGCTGCCCCTGGAGATCTGTGGATAGGGTCAGCAGGCTGACAGGCTCCCAGAGGTGGTCCTGGATGGACAGGGCTGGGGTGGATGAGGGGGGCCAGCAGGATCGGNCACTGGGACTGGGCCTTGAGGGGACAGAGTTTGGGTCCAGTTTGGAAGGGTAGCCATCTTCCAGGGCCTGAGGTTTGTCTTCTGTAAGCTCTGCAGGGACCCTACAGGCAGGGAGGCAGTGAGGCAGTGGGGACTTTACCACCTGTTGCAGCAGATGGGTTTCAGGGCCACACAAAGCAACCTGCAGACAGTTTCTTTCACTTCACCCTTGCCTACCCTTGGGGATCAACTGAATTAAACACTTTTGAATGCCAAGCTCTAAAATGGAAGGAGAGACTTGTGTTTTAAGTCATTTGAACAAAGGTTGTGAATGGGACACACTGCCACCTCTTGGGCCAGGCTATGCCATTGCCTGTTTCTCCTGGGCCAGTGGTCAAGGTCAAGTTGGGTCTGGGAGCAGCTTCTGAACAGGGCCAGGTTTCTTGCCACAGCCCCACTCTCAGCACTCTGAGGCCCCTCCTACTCCCAGCTCCTGGCCAAGGCCGCTGGCGATCTCCCCACCGTGCCTCTCCCCTCCCCAGCTCTGCGTCACGCCCAGCAGAAACAGGGGGCCTCCAGTCGGTACTGTAGTGCATGGAACCCAAGCACTTTATTTGTAGCCTTGCTCCCAAGCCTCTGCCCTCCTCCCCAGGCCTCCTTTCCACAGCTCTGCCCTTCTCCCAAGGCTCCCGTCCCAGGCTTTCCTCCCCAACCTCTGCCAGCCTCCCCAATTCACCCTCCACCAGACTTCAATTCTCCTCCCCAGGCCTCTCTTTCCCAGCCTCTGCCCTTCTGTCCAGACCTCCCTCCCCATCCTCTTGCCCTTCTCCCCAGTACTTCGCCTCTGCCCTCCTCCCCAGTCCTCCTTCCATGTCTGCCTCCTCTCCAGGCTTTGTTTCCCACCCTTTGCCCTCTTTCCCCTGGCATCTGCCCACCTTTTCCAGCCTCCTTCCCCAAGCCTCCCTCTGACAGCCTCTGCTCTCCCCGGGGCTTGCTCTCCAGCCTCTACCTGCTTCCCCAGGACTTGTTCCCCAAGCCTCTCTCCCCAGCTTCTACACCTCTTTCCCGGCCTTGCTCCCCAGCCTCTGCCCTCCTCACCAGGCTTCCTTTCCCAGCCTCTGCCTTTTTCCCCTCTGCCCTCCTCTCTAGGCCTCCCTCCCCCCAGCTTTCTACCCTCCTCTCCTGGCCTCCCTCCCCAGACTTTTCCCTCCTCTCCATACTCTCTTCCCAACCTCTACTCTCCTTCACAGGCCTCAGTCCCCTAGCATCTGCCATTTTCCCCAGGCCTCCCTCTGCAGCCTCTGACCCCCTCCTCAGGCCACCTTCCCAGAGTCCTTTCTCCTCCAAAGGCCCCCCTTTCTAGCCTTCTATCCTCTTGCCAACGCTTACAGCTGCCAGCAGCCCCAGAGTCCCTGGCCAGGGCTTTGGGTAACCACTGGGACTGGGCCTTGAGGGGACAGAGTTTGGGTCCAGTTTGGAAGGGTAGCCATCTTCTAGGGCCTGAGGTTTGTCTTCTGTAAGCTCTGCAGGGACCCTACAGGCAGGGAGGTAGTGAGGCAGTGGGGACTTTACCACCTGTTGCAGCAGATGGGTTTCAGGGCCACACAAAGCAACCTGCAGACAGTCTCTTTCACTTCACCCTCGCCCACCCTCGGGGATCAACTGAATTAAACACTTTTGAATGCCAAGCTCTAAAATGGAAGGAGAGACTTGTGTTTTAAGTCATTTGAACAAAGGTTTTGAATGGGACACACTGCCACCTCTTGGGCCAGGCTATGCCATTGCCTGTTTCTCCTGGGCCAGTGGTCAAGGTCAAGTTGGGTCTGGGAGCAGCTTCTGAACAGGGCCAGGTTTCTTGCCACAGCCCCACTCTCAGCACTCTGAGGCCCCTCCTACTCCCAGCTCCTGGCCAAGGCCACTGGCGATCTCCCCACCGTGCCTCTCCCCTCCCCAGCTCTGCGTCACGCCCAGCAGAAACAGGGGGCCTCCAGTCGGTACTGTAGTGCATGGAACCCAAGCACTTTATTTGTAACTTAGAGATACAACAAGAAGTGACAACACCAGAAACAACATTTCTGTGACCAGACAGTGCTGAGCAGTACAGAGTTAATCACACACAGAACAGTAAACGCCATTCAGGTCAGTATCTGAATTTGCAGAAGCTCCACCGCCTGGAAAACAGACTGCAAATAAATAAAGTGCATGGAGACCCCAGCAGGCAGCAAGGGCCCTGTGGGGGAGAGAAAGCGGCAGGAAGGGGAGGTGGAAAGCAGAAGCGGCTAATACGCAAGGCAGAACCCCTAAGAAAAGCAGTGGCAGGGACACAATGCTCAGGATTCATCACTGCCCCTCCTCTGGCCAGTCCCTTTGGGCCAAGATAGCCACAGCCACGGGCTTGCCAGGTGCCCCTCCGGACTTCCGGAGGGGTGGGGCTTCCCTGCAGTGGGGGGCCTCTGAGGGCAGGGGCCACTGAGGCTGGACACACATTTCTCCCTGTAGGGAAGCAGCTTCCTAGGCCCCAGGCCCAGGTACAGGGAGGGCTTGGCACCCAGAGCAGCTCCGCCTGCTCCACGCATGCGCTTGCGCTTGCACATGCACTCGCAGTGAAGAGACTTCTTCCTCCCTTCCTGGCTGGACCAGGAAGAGGCTGGAGCTGGGGAGCCAGTCACCAACAGGGTGAGACCAGGTTTTGAAAGGGGCTCAGTTGTGTATCAGACCCAAGGAGGCCCCTGGCTCCTCCTCTTCTTTCCTCCAGCCCTGTGTCACTCTTGTCCCTCAGAGGCTGCCCCTGGAGATCTGTGGATGGAGTCAGCAGGCCGACAGACTCCCAGAGGTGGTCCTGGATGGACAGGGCTGGGGTGGATGAGGGGGGCCAGCAGGATCGGGATTCCCATCAGACTTGGCATGAGGAAGCAAGCCATCAGGCCCTGGCTGTTGGCAATCACAGGGGGCACGTGGCAGCCACTGTCCAGCCTCTGTCTTGGGTGGGACAGGTAGAGATCTTCATTTGGGACCCAGTTGCAGTGGGCAGGTGAGGGCAGATGGCCAGACTGCTGCAGTTTTCAGTTGTGGGCCTCAAGCTCCCAGTGCCAGAGGAGATGTGGGACAGGGACGGGTGCTGAGGGCCAGGCCCTCTCCTGGCCACTGGCACACCAGTTAGCAGCACCCGTGTGGCCTCCAGGACCAATCCAAGCCTATCCAGATATGATTGTCTCCTGTGATCCTGGGGATGAGCAACGGAGCCTGGGGACAGAGAGATGGGGTCATGCCATGGGTCCCAGCTCCATCCCACCCCAGGTTTATTTCTTCACACTCCTGGTTACGTCATGTCTCCAGGAGCCACACCACTGCCATCATCCCCCACTCTGCCACAAAACTCAGAGGCTGTGCCACTCAACTGCTGAGAAGCCCTTGGTGAAGCTCAGGGTGGGTGTGGAGGCGCTGCAGGTGAGGACGTCACTCCCCAGGGGTTCTGGGACCCATGTTCTTCTGTGTCCCATGTCTCCTCCTGATCTTCCCTAAGACCTTCCATACAACTCCAAGGAAAGCCAGATCCCCAGATTCCCTACCCCTGGACCCCTCTCTCCCTAGGTCCCTTGGGAGCTCTCCCCCTCCACATCCCACCATGCCAGATCCTGGAGAAGACTGGGGAGGGGGTGGGGGACTTCATGCCCAGGGCAGACTCAGCTGCACCACTTCCTATCTGTGTGACAAAGACAAATCTCACCCCCTTCTCCAGAGCCCATTTCATCAGTCATTAGGAGGGGGAATACATCTCTCTCTTGGTGTTGCTAGGAGATCTCAGTGCCCAGGGAGCAGGACATGGCCGGTCCTTCCCATGCCAGGACCAGTTTACTGGGCAACCCTGCCCCTCTGGGCCTCTGCCCACGCTGTGCCTCCACCAGGAAGGTGCTTCCTCTCCTAGTCAGGCCCTTCTCAGCTGCTCCCCAGGCAGCTCCAGGGCCAGAGGAGGGGGAGGTCACCAACTACAAATGCCAGTGTCCTCAAGAGAAAGAAAGAGGAGACTCCAGAGTTGCCTCAGCACCCAGAGGTCCTTGTTTCCCCCAAATGTGGCCCCCCTAAAACCCCTTCTCCATCTGCTCTCCCACCCCAGCCTGCGGGCAGCTGTCTGCTCAGAGATCTCATTTGCCCAGATCCCTTCGGTACACAGCAGGCCTCTCCAGGCTATCCAAGGCTGGAGGACAGGACTCTGTGGCACTGAGAGGGCTCTGGTAGGAGCTGTAGGGAGCAGGGGCTGACTTGATGGAGGAGCAAGGCTGTGGGGGAGGGGACAGGCAGGAACTTGTCTTTCCCACTTTTCCTTGTCTCCAAATGCAGAGATGTTGGGGATGCCCTCATTAGAGGCTGGGGGAGAATAAGGGGCAGTGGGAACAGGCAGAGACCCTTAGCTCCAAAGACAGTGCAGAAGGGAGTTTTGCAAAGGGCTGTGCCAGAGCCGCAGAGCACCCCAGGGGCCTGAGGGCTGAGGAGGGAACAGACCAGGGGTTTGGGCCCAAAGAGAACCATCCTTCCTATGCCCACCCCAGAGGGGTGGAGGGAGGAGAGGGGTGGGCGCATCTCTCCTCCTCTAGGGCCTTCCAGGGGCCTCCCTGACCATTCTCCTCCATCCTCTCGAGGGCAGGTGACACCACTGGGTCCTTTGCCGGGAAGGGGGGCGGGGACTGGGCCCTAGGTGGGAGGGGACCCCTGTCTGTCTGTTGGTGATGGGCTGACCGTCGCCCCTCACCCCCTCCTGGAACCCTGACAGGGAAGCAGGGGAGAGGCCGTGGCTGCTTTTCCTCCCCACAGCTCAGCTCGGCAGCTCTTCGGGCTGATTTGTTCGGGCGCCTTCCGTATTTCCCCCAGACCACTACGGCGCCTGGACATCTAGATGTCCTAGCAGTCGCCACCCGTCCCCTCTCGATTTCAACCTGTCGCCTCCTACCTTTCTGCTCAGGGGATGGAAAATCAAGTCGCTGCAGCGGAATTCCTTCATTCTGGTCCCCCACCCGCTCTGGCCAGTGTGAGGCAACAGGCCGGCCGGACCCAAGTAATTTTGTGGAGCCCGATGGAAAGGCCCCGTTTAGTGAGTGTCTGTGCGGTCGGGGGCCGGGGCTCGGTGGCTGTCCCCCTGCCGCTGAGGTCTAGAGTCCAGGGG